AAAGGAAATATAATTTTGTCTGAATGAAGCTGATTATACTTTTCTCTTTCCATTTTTCAATTTTCGAAGTTCAGTCAATATTAAACATCATATTTTGTGTCCTATCATCTATGATAATAAGGTTTGAGAATTTAAGTAAGACTAGATTTTCATGCATACATCTCCGAAATTTATATGCATGGGCTTTGAAGATAGGAAAATCTTAAAAATATTAAAGATTTTGAAATTTATTCCTATTTTTCAAGTTTCTTTCAGCAGATATGACTAGAATTCATGAAGATTTTCTAAGGATTATAAATCTAGTGGTCTTTCTAGTGGAAAAAAAATCTAGATCCAACTAAATGCACTAGCTGGACTAGTTCCAGCTACTGCATTTAGTTGGATTTCTCTTCAATGTGCAAATTTACATTTATTTTTTTTATTTCCACACGAATTAGTCTTTCCTTCCTTTCAGGCTTAAAGCACTCGATGTTGTAACACTACAACGGCTTGCAGAACGGGTGAATGTCATACCCGTGATTGCAAAAGCTGATACCACCTGCAAAGATGAACTTATAAGATTCAAAAGCAAGGTACATTTCCCTTTTTTATATATCATGTTTAAAATGCACCATTGCTCAATAATCATCAATTGCTTCAACTTCATAATAATAATGGTTTGCCCTATTCCCTAGCGCTGTGATTATTTCAAAATTTGTTTTATTCTGATTATTTTCGTTTCTAAACTTTATGTGATAATGTACTTAAGTACGAATTCTTTAATCATCGATGATAAAATCGTACTGTAATCATATTCATAGAGCTACAGATTTCTTTCCTCTAAAGACTTAAACATTATACTTTATTTTTTAAGCTTTCGTCATTTTCTTAATCTTGCGCAGAAGTTCAGATTTTAGCTAGTACCAGTAAAAGAGACACACTACGTTTAATGTTTTAAATTTCATCGTTTTTTTTTCTTCTTATGCTTCTCATAGTTTAAAAATTATTTTGTATTTATTATTCTATTGAATTTTCAAGATCCAATAATTTTTTCTAGATTTTAAGCGAGTTGCGTAGCCACAATATTCCCATCTATCAGTTTCCGACTGACGACGAGACGGTACGAGCAATAAATACGGAATTAAACCAGCTTGTGCCATATGCTGTTGTGGGCAGTACTGATTTTGTAAAAAAAGAAAACGGCAAAATGGTTCGAGCACGTCGATATCCGTGGGGAATGGTTGAAGGTATGTATTTTTCGTTTTCTAAATTTTCGTAAATTTCCATAAATATAGAACGAGAATCTTTGTTGCAACGATTGAAATTAAAGGGTAGCAGTCTGATTAATGAGATGGTTAAAATAAACGTTTGAAATATTCTTGTAAGTATTTCTCGAAAAGGTTCCCATAAACCAAATAGACGATTTGAATATATAAACCAAATAGACGATTTGAATCATTTTAGTTCTAAACCAAATTTAATTGACTGGAGTAATCACTTTTTTGAAAATATGATTGCAAAGTGCAGTTGAAAACGAGGAACATTGTGATTTCGTCAAATTGCGTGAGGCAGTATTGCGTACAAACGTGGATGCATTACGTGAACGAACGCACAGGGTGCTATATGAAGCATATCGTCGTGAACGTTTACGTGCAATGAAAGTTGGCGATGGTGATACAGGACCAAAAATGATGGAAGCTTTCGCACAGGTTCTGTTTTACTTTACAAATTTACTTCGTTTCCTTTCTTCTTTTAACCTAAACAATATAAGTAGTAGTGGAGTCATGTACATAACACTATTCGTTTTATGAGGAAAAGAGTTTAAAATGCAAAATGTCATTTTACATTTGTTTGCATTTTACAGAAACGGAGAAGGTATAAATTAGAGTCAGATGTCAAATTTAATTGAAAAACGAAACTTGCATAGGGGGTTCCTCACTTTCTAAATATTAACTCAAGTGATCTCGCTTTTTAGTCGGTGACAATATCACTGTTTACAGAAGCAACGTGAATTCATTGATGAAATGACAAATAGAGACAAGGTTTTACGCGAAGAATTCGTTGCGCGAGTTAATAAGAAAGAAGAAGAAATGAAAAGGAGAGAGGAATTGGTTTGTTCCTGTTTCTTTTTCTTTAAAATTATCTCTATTGCTGTGGAAAGTTTTTTAAAATTCATCATTGTCGTTTTTTCTAGAAAATTAAAAACCTTCTTCTAATGGAATTTTTCTCTTCTTTGCAGCTAAATTTACGAACCAAAGAGATTAGTGATAATTTTGAAGAAGAATTACGACGTATCGAGTCACAAATGCATACATTGTTGGAGGAAAAAGCGAAATATGAATTGAAAACAGCTGGGAAAAAAGCGAAGAAGTAAGAGAAAATCATTTGTAATGTATTCCATCTCTTACTGTTTCCCTTACAATTTCATCTACATTTCTTTCCGCTTGTACTTTTCCTTGCAAACAACATTTTGATACCAAACATTTCCATCTTGCTGTCCTGACAAGTTATATGTGCAGTTTTTATTTGATAAAAAATTGAATTTTTCCCACCTTTTTTGCTTTTTTTTTGATAGAACTATTTCGTTCTGACAAATTTTATAAATGATTTTACCAGAATTCAATTTGCCGATTGAGGTTGTACCGAAAATTTTTATTTGAAATGACATTGAATTCAAATCAATTTGTTTAATATTATCAGAGGGATATTTTGTTATTAAAACAGGTGGCAAATAAAATAGATATTTTGTTTTAGCAGATTCAATATTGAAAATAAGACAAATTAATGCAAAATTTATAAGGCTTTTTTCAATAAAATTTGAATAACAGAAAAGCTAATAAAATATCACTATTTTATGGTGACTTTCAGTTCGACCTCATTATCGAGCGTTTAGTCGGAAACTGTACGATCGATTCTTTTAGTCATGAGATTTTTTTCGTATTTTCTTCCATTTTTGTTTTTTCTGGTTTTCTTTGCTGGAATATCCGTTAAATATATGCGCGTACTGTTATAAACTATAATCAAAATTGTACTCCATCCTTGTCAATCCGGGAATTGGAGAATTTGAATTGAGGCAGCTTATAATTTATCTGCGGAATTTTCCTTAAATTTTCATAATTTTAGCGTCATTTGATCCTGATCGTTTTATAAGAATTTTTTGTGTATTAGTTTTTCACGAAATTTTTGTAATTTCTGGAAATCGTGAAGAAATGTGGTTATAATTCGCATTTTCTTTAGCAGTTTTCAAGATAACCATTCAAATGTTCCCGATAGCAAGTAAAATTTTATATGGTTCAGTAACATTGTTTTCCTTTCTTTGAATTTAGATATTCTTGAGATAAATACGCTTCAAATTTTGCTTATGAGGAAAAATATAGTAGTAATGGAGGGATTTCGAAGGTAGGGAATAAATTTTCATTTTTTTAATCTGATTTGCTTTCAAAATTGCGCTAAATTGTGAAGAATACGTTACATATGTAATTAACTTCTTCATTGAATTCCAGTATAATTGAGAAATGGAGACGCAACTTGTGCATTTATAAAATTTTCTTCATTTTATGACAAATTGTATTATAATCCAGTGAAAAGGGTTGGATCGAAATCGGATTTTTTAGAACATCTGATAGTGTTTGGTTTGTTCCAAGCTATTAGCACCCAACTGATAGATCCGATTTCGTTACACCCAGTGATTGTTTTTTTCTATTCGACAAACTAAAACACATTTCGTGTTTTCATTGTTTAGTACAATATTATTCATGATATTTTTCTTTTCGTTGGTCGGTGATTCGTTTAAATATTCATTTTTTTTTTTTTTGCCTTGTATGCGACGAAGACGAATATTTGCAAAAAAAATATTGCTTTTATTGTCAAAGATTTAGATGATACCACATCAATTTTTCTGTTTCGGATATTCTATTTTAAACCAAAATTCATCCTCTTAGTCCTTATTGAGAGCCCTTTTGATAGTTTTTAATTAATATTTCGATCTTTGTGAATTTCTTTTGCTGAACGATTTTGATTTCGTTTTATTTACTACACTTTTTGCACATATTTCTTAGACAAAACATACGAGAATTCAGGATTTTTATGAGAAGCAAAAATTTTGAGGTCAAACTTTCAAAAAATTTCACAATATTCGTTCGTTGTATCATCTCGATTTAGTATTTAGTTTAAAGAAAAGAATTGTTTATTCTTGGCCTAATTTGACTGAATTGCGGTTTTCAGTCAAATTGCGATTTTCTTTCTTTTTTTCGTAATGTTGAAGAATTTTTGGCTAGTACTAGGTATCTGTCTGAGAAAAAATTATTTTGTGTATGTCGCTTCCATCTCTTTGTTTAATATTTATTTATTTCTGATCGTTACAACTATTATTATTATAAAAAATGGTTCCGTATGGAGCGTACCTGTAGCGAAATGATACCATCAAATTCTTTGTAGAACAAACTATTGTCGGGAAATATTTAATTTTTTTTATAAGTTCTAATTTTTTTTACTGGATAACTTGCAACTGTCAATGAGAAATAATGCGCATTTTTAATTCTACAACTCGAATGGCGGATAATTTCAACTGATAAATGAATGTTACATTCATTCTCTATGAACATTATTAAATACAAAAATGTTGAATCGAAAATCACTAAACAAATAGTACCGTGGAGAATCATCGAGAAGCATTCATTTAGAATGAAATTGGACCGACAAATCATTACAGAAAGTAAATACTACCATGTGAGCTTCTCGTTTTTCTTGCTTCTCATATTAAATTTAATATATGAACATGAAGATATTCTAAATTCGATTCAACAATTTTAAAGTTCCTTTGCTTCTTTTGTTGAATTCGCGCATGTCAGAAGTTTCAGACGATGTCGATTGCGCTTTGTCTCTATTTAATTCAACTTTGTTTAATATACGTATTGGAACTGTTCGATTGAATTTCTTGTTAAACTCTGTTGGTCCTGGCTCTTCATTCAAATTTAGTTGATTGTCATTTATCGATTGCAGATTATTATCGATTTGTTCTCCTTCTCCGCTGGAATTTATTTCGGTATTTTGTCCAAAAAACGTTTCAGACAATTGTGGACTGAAGGATTCTTCAATTTCGCTTTCAATACTCTGAAATAATTGAATTTTGCATAAAAATGAAGAAGAACCAAATAAAATCAACAATAATTTAACAGGTGGTACTTAAGCCAGGCCGTACACTCGCTCTTAATAGATAATTGGAAGATTTTTAACTAATTTAAACTTTATTTTAGTTGCAGTAAAATATTAATTACAGCTATCTAGAAGTTGCAAAAAGTCGAAAAAACCTTGTAAAACACTGGCTGTAAACAGAAATTCTAATTAAGGAAATAGCAAGTCTGTTAATAGGAAGTCGATCTGTCCAACGGATGTTCAATAGATAAAACCTATTGGATGTTCATTGATCGTAAGTTAAACTGATTGCGATGATTGTGACCTTTTTTAAGTGTATCCTTTTCTTTTTAAGAATATACGAAATGCATTATCGTTAGTTTAAACTTTCCTATATATGAAGTAATTCGAGTAATCATGATGATAATCATAAGCATTGCAACATACAAAAATTGATGACATATATTTCTGAGGAATTGATAAATTTTCATAAACTATGGAAAGTATGGTTGCTAATTGAAAATTATATCATTATTAATTATCTAAATTTAGAAAAGTTTGATAACTGATAAACAAACTTGATCGATAGATCGATAACATAATGTGTAATATTTGATAGGACATCCCTCGTTATCATGTTCAGCTACAAAATATATGCAAGCACAGTCAGGATCTCTTGTCCAACCCTCTAAATTCTGTTCACAGCTTTCATCCGTGTCATTATGTGGCGATGAGTGCATCAATGGATCAAGTGGCAGACAGCGGGTTGGCTAAAAAATTTCATTTTTATTTTGCTCTCTATCGTTATGGAAAATATAAGGTCATCCAAACAGCATAACTATATTCAGTATTGGATCTGAATATCTGAACAATTTTACGACATATTTGTTAAAATTAGTTCTATTTCAGTGTTATTTCAAAAAAAGGTAAATATTTGATCATAAAGATTTGAAGTTTTACCTTTGGAAGATAGTTTAAGTACGACTTTTTTCCATCCTTTTTCTTTTCAAAGGATTGAACTTCATCAATCAGTTTTACTTTTGATTTTGCCAAAATCGATAGATTTTTCTGCGTTTCAAGAATCTTTTCAATGGGATTTATTAATTGAGATGACGGTGCTTGCAAGCTGAGGTCATAGTTTATTGCTGTACTAGGCTGATTAAATTGAGAATATGACGACGACGTTGATGATCCATCCGCCTGACTTCCTATTCTCGATTCCACTCTTGATTCTGCTTCATAGCTCGATTCTGCTTTAGTGGCACCATATAATGAGGTCGATGGGTTTTCAGTTGAAGTTGATATTCTCGATTCCAATCCATAACTCGATTCCGCTGTGGCGGCACCATATGACGAGGTCGATGGATTTTCAGTTGAAGCTGATATTCTCGATTCCAATCCATAGCTCGATTCCGCTGCGGCGGCACCATATGACGAGGTCGATGGATTCTCAGTTGAAGCTGATATTCTCGATTCCAATCCATAGCTCGATTCCGCTGCGGCGGCACCATATGACGAGGTCGATGGATT